GCACTACGAGACTCCATATGTGCGAAATCTCCCTGGAGCTGACTTTGGATGGCTTATTTATAAGCTTCAAAAATAAATAATTAATGGAAGGTAAACCTGTGCCGGAAAGGACCTTGCTTATAGAATGGTCCGCAGGTTTCCCCCCTTATTATTGCTACTTTGACGCAACCATAGCCACAATGTACAATAAAATTCATTGATACGGCTCCGTCCATACAAAACTTTATACATTAATATCCGTACAATTATTCGTACACAAACCACATGCCACGTACCTGCAAGACGGCCGGTTGCCACATAATTGCTCCAGGGTAGAGCAGGGGGCACGAAGAGTGATGCACCACGTCATCTGCATGATCTGCGAGCGGAAGAGCCAAATCGGGCGTGTGTATACACATATTATTCTGAACCATCATGTATTACATCCGTAATCCAGTCCGTTATGTATATGTATATATATATGCATATGCTGCTGTAAGACAAGACTATGACAGGATTATGACAAAGACTGTATGCTGCTGTAAGACAAGACTATGACAAGATTATGTGCGCAATAAATATATAATACGGTAGGAACACATAAACCAAAGCATGACAAATCCTATTTTATAGGTACACCTTACAGTAGTCATTTCGATATCATACGCACCTGACTGGCGTTCATGTTGAAGTCCGTACCCTTAAGCGCCATGTTATTAGCTTTCTCTACTTCCAACTTAAATTTGTTAGTAGACTTGCCGTTGATGGTACTACTGACGTAACTGCCCTTGCATTTCGGATCTGGAACGAATGAGGCGTAGTAGAGGAAATATGGGTAAAGGTAAGAGCAGGTCCGTAATAAAGATTGGAGCTTAGCAGAGATTTCTCCAATGTGAAGGGTTGTTGGTCATGACATATAAGCCCACACAGAACATGGGCCAGGGTGCCCACAGTGTACGACCTATGGGATGTGTGCAAAACATGGGCCAGGGTGGTCATGGCCTGCATTGCAACATCATGGAATACCATGCGCAACATGACCTGATCATGTTCCGCATGCCATAGATATTTAAAAATATCTATTATGTGCAGGTATATGACCGACTTTATGACCCCCTGGAGCCATAAAGCGCAGCCATGACTGCCAGTGGCTGGGGTCAAAATGGGATCCGCTTTTTGATATATTGACATCATGAAATCGCAGACATTCTATGACCCCCACCGGTCATACCCTGCACTAGGCTTATGCATGCCATGACCGGGTCTATGACTCAGTGGCAAATCATGGCCGGATCCATGACCACATACATGACCAAATTCATGACTCGAAAACCCGTCCATGACCAAGTCGTTCCCCGTTAAGGGAGGCAGGTGTGCATGTGAGCATGTCTGTGGGATTATGCTATGGTCCTTCACTCCTTGAGGAGTCTACAATATTAGCCTAAGTATTGCCTAAATCATTGTATAACTATAGTCAAATGCTTAAACTTAACAAATCAGACATCGGCAAACGCTTCGGGCACTTCAGGTCGTAGCGAACACCCCGATAACAGAAATGGAGTTCCCGAAGCCGACCCCGTGTAGGAATAGAGGACCATTCGCCTGCCATCCCACACGAAAGCTCCCCTGCGGGGAACCCCCACCGGCAGTGAATGATGTCAGAAATGGACCCGCTCTCGAAACCAGAAATACTCCTTTGTCTGTAATGAATCATACTTAGATTAAATATTACAGAAATTGTGATGTATTACCTAAATGACTGCTTCAATGAACCCTAAAATTTAAAGAAACCCCTGCGTTCTCTAACTTTTACGTAGCTATCCTGAGCTCATAGCTTTCAAATTACCTTATTTTTATTTAATCTGCGCCAGGTTTTTACACCACTCGGGAGTCTTCGATTTGCCGACAAACTTTTCCTGCCAATTCCCTTAGGTTAAATATAATTTGAATTTATATATAAATCAAGTCAAAAATATATTTGTTTCTAACATTTAATCTAAAAACCTCTAACCTGAAAAACATCTTAGGGGGGAACGCAATTATTTACTTACTGATAGATAATATAATAGTTATGATTATTATCGTCGTCGTCATCATTATTATCACGCCTCACCTATATCCAGATAAATCTTGTGAAGCTCTCTTAGGAAAGCTTCACAACACGGCTGCTGTCCTTCCGTCAAGTTCACTGACGGACAGTCGTTCCCAGATTCAAACTCGAAACAATATTCGCGTTGACTGCCGTCAACGGACACCTGCGCGCGGGAAATCGGCATCCGATTGTTGGCGTTACGCGCATCAAACAACCAACCGAATCAACCAACCGAACAGAAGGACAAACATATAAACCTGTGATGATAAGTGCAGCTGCACGGTTACTAACCGCCAATGGCCAACGGCCGATGGACGCGGGAAAATGAAAACAGGTTGCTCCCTATAGTCGAACAAGGCAACAAGGTCTACTCCGATTACAGTTACAGGGTGTTTCCACTTGGCCGCACACTAACATTAAGTTCAAAAAATCTCACACCTGGCTCAGCAAATCATGCAGGCGATAAGAAACTAGTTAAATACATTAATAGAAAGTAAAAGTTCTTTAAAAAAATCGCGTAAAGGGGCTCCGTACGCGAAAAGCCGAAGGGCCCAGTGGAAACGCCTGGGACACTAAGTCCGCATTAGTGGCACACTAGTTATCAGGGCCTCAGACCTGCTGATAACTTTCAAACTGGACATTAACTTCCGAGCGGGAAAATTCATAGTCAGCCATTTTCCTTTCTCAAGGCCCTACGTTGACTTTTGTATTTTCCTTTATCCACAGCCGCAAATAGCCCGCTAACCAGTGGAATTCACAGCAGGACCGGTCGAATTGCCCACGTTCCAGCAATCAGCCGACCAAACTGTAATGATTTGCGCATTAAATTACACCCAATCTTACTAATACAATGGTTTGCGCCTTATAAGTTGTTGCTCCATAGGTAATGCCATTTTCTGTTACAGATAATGATACACAGGAAGGCCCGAAGAAGACGGGCCTAACCAACAACAAAAACAAGAATATGAACCTGTCGTATGGTTCCGGGGCGCTTAGTGGAAACACCTGTCCACTAGCCGCACACTAAGTCCACATTAAAGATAATGTTCAAAAGTTAGTGTGCGGCCAAGTGGAAACACCCTGTAAAACTATCGCATAATAGGATAGCACAGAAACAGCTGTAGCAGCAGGCGCCCATTATTATGCTCAGCCAGTATTGTCCAGGTTGTCCTTCCTAGTTAAGATACGCAACCCCATCATCGAAGTAACCCCCCACCCTTGCTTTTGTTTGTCGTACATAGCATCGAAAACACCGTACCTCCCACCGGAATGTCCGATTGCTTGAGATGCCAACACCTATAGCTATCCGAGGTCAACTTACATTGACCCCGTAACTTACCTTTCCAACTGGGTTACTTAGCGCGAGCTTGTACGGGTAACCGCGGCGGATTCTTGTACAATAGCCATGATTGTCTTGAAGATCAGGGGGGGACCATGTGCCAGGGACACTGAAACGAGTACGGCAAGCAAGGCAAGTGCGATTTTTAGCTCAACCGTGAATTCAAAAGGGCACGGAACAGACAAGGAAAACCTACCCGTACAGAATTTGTACGGTACGGCAGGATAGTACAGCAGTGGTTCCCGCGAAAAACAATCATGAGGGGCGCTATGCATCAAAAGAAAAAACATACACAGGGTTCAACAAAGGGCCTCAGGATATGGCCATGTACGGCGAGTTCATTAAAGAACTAGGTACGCCTCAACAAAGCGTACGACATTATACGGTACATGAGTATTTACCTCGCTTCCGCCAGCGACCTCGCATCGCCGAACTGTCCCGACCGCCACCCCCTGGGGCCCTCAAATGAAAAGTCTGCACTTCCGCTGCTCCGTCTGCTGCTGCTGCTGCTACCTATAAGGCCCTCATGATGAAAACCACTACCGCTGCTGCCATCGGCGACAGTCCTGGCGGCGGCGGCAGCTTGTCCATTAGCAACGCGAGTATCAGCAGCAGCGGAGCTACTGCCGTACACTGTCTTGGAACCTGCGAGTGTAAGCAGCACCGCCCCGGGCGGGGGGAGGGACACGCACAGAGGGGGGAGGGGGCGTCTACTCTTCGTGAGCCTGAAGCCCATTGTAACAACTGCACATACACAAACAACTCTTCACCGTGGCGCAGTGTGCGTTTTTGTACATAAAAGGCCAGGTACATGTGTGTATGTGTTTGTGTGTGGGATACTCAGGATTATGAAATGGAGAGCGTTGCTCGGTGAGGAGGTCGGATTGCGCGAGATGATAGCCCTACGAAATTCCTATTCGCGTCTGTTGGCGAACATCGGACGGACCAGGAATTGGACGCTACGTGCAACAACTCAAGTCGAGACATAAATTTAACACGAGACATATAAATCCGTAACATAAATATGCCAGAGGGCCCAAGGTGCAACCGACGCTGGCGTAAATGATGGACCTAACAGCGTGCCGCTGCAGAAATCGATAAGGGAACAACTGGTGGCCAATATAAATCTACAAGGCACAAACGCTATAATCTATCGTGATCAGAAAGAATCAAGTCATGAAGCCATGCGTCGGCTCGCGCTTCATCCGTGTGCAAGATGGTTGTATTCCTGGCTACCGCAATAATGTACATGGTCTCGGCAGAAATATAATGGAATACGCAGGAAGCATGAGCAAATTGAAACATTAATGCGTAGGAATGGTTCCAGCCACAGCAGCAACAATCGTTTTCGACTTGCACCTTCCCTTCCTTTGACTTCCCTTCCTTTCCCGCTCCGGGAATGACCAAAAACATGTTTACATTGTGAATTATGCTTGTGCGTGTGCGATACCCAATTCTACACGGCAGACGCTGACAAACAGCAGAGGATGCTTACCTGACCAGGTAGAGGCGAGGGCAATGAGCAAAAGAAGGCGTGTACTCATGATCCTCGGCAGAAGTGGATAGCTTAACTCTTTAGAGGCAGGCAGTGTCAGCTTCAAGAGCATATGCGTCGTCGTCAAGAAACACAATTAGCTCGCCACGGCATTCCGCATGAAGACTGCGTATCTGTGCGTTATGATTTTCTTCCACAAACACGATTATGGCGTAGAGTAACCTCAGCTATCCCCAAAGCCTTTGCCAAATTATCTGTGATTACACCCTAACGTCATGATTTACTATTGTGGCTTGATTTTCCCAGCAACGCCTATTGTTGCTAGGTCAATCGCTGCCCTTCACGCACTCGACACTAGGCAGGGATCGAGTCAGCTACAGGCAGGATTCGTGCACGATAAGTCATACAATCAATAAAATTTCAGCTATGTACTAAACGGAGGTAGCAAAGAGGCTAAATACACAAAAGGATCTTCGCCCGTGCAGGATACGGCGATGCCGTGACACTCAATCGCAACGGCGCACCTTTGCACGTGGGAACAGACTTGATAAGTGCATTACCAAAGCGTTTAAGCGGCAATAGTTTCTTCTTATTGCAATCTATGGCTTCAAACCGCTGACACTTATTATTCAATGAGGAAGATTTCAGTTTAGCACTAACGCCGACTTTTATCCACAAATAGGAATTTATATGTTTCAGTTCTTAATCCAAAATTTTGGCGTCCATGGGCTAACATGCTTCCTCTGTATGTCGCCGAACAGTGCTATGAAGGGTTCGGCAGGACTAATGGTGTGAAGAAGCGAATGGCTTTTTGAGTGACTTTACTGTGTACGCATCGGAAATGAAACTATAAATTATGCCTGTTAGAGATGCGATTTGGTCACTACGGCATGTAAACGCCTAAATGGAAGCGAATAATAGAATCCATCGCCGGCCCTAAAAACATTGTTTCCACCGCAGAAACGGTCTATCACAGCCAGTCGCATAAAAAAGCGCATAACGACGGTGTATGCTACATGAAATTGCAGCCACGCACATCGTAAGGCCACTTTCGGCCTGTTTCAGGCAGTTTCAGCAGCAGCCTCGCTGGTGTGCGTGGCTGACAGACGCCAGCGTAGGGTAAATTGAAACAGATGATGGCACGCATTCTACTACTAGATGGGATGCAAGCATATGCGCATACATGTGGTCTGCTGCGATAGCTAGGCGTCGCGGAAATTAAAGTACACAGCCGCTCTTTCATCAAGTACATATAGTATAAGTATAAATTTGTAATTAGTCTCTACTGCAGTGCACGGCCAGCTGGCCCGATGGCTCTACTCTTCGGGAGTCTGGAGCCCACTGTAACAACCACACACAGTATAAGTATACGGTATACGGTTAAGAACGTAATACCTGCTACCGCTAGCTAGCTTTTTACACCCTTACCTTCCTTGCATACACAGCGGTCGCTAATCCTGAAGTGCAAAGACAGTGACTGCAATTGTTATATGATAATAATTATAAGAATTCGTTCGCATGTGTTTTTCGCTCGCTGTGAATTGTCTGCTGTCGGTCATATAGCTCGCTCGAAGCGAAGCGATTATCGCCGCGATTGCATCGACACCGTCCGCTTCTTTTCACCATGTATATGCAATGCTTTGCCATGGCATAGTGATAGACAACCAAATCTTTTTTACGATTTATACGCGGCCTTCAAATTAAACCATCAGGTGATGGCACCTCAATAAACACACCGCACATGTACGGAGCGAGGCAGGCATGGCAACTAAGAATGCATGCGCTAAAGGTGTTTCATTGAATAAAACAACACCTTTTATTGGTGTTCCCGTTTAAGTCGTACGTATGTATACACCGCGAGAGGTATATAATATACGGTCGGTCCTTCTAATAAACGACACACGCTACGCGTAAGGTAGGGCTTGCCCAGAAATTACCAAAGTCTGTAATGGGTGTGGTGTAATTAGTGTGGTGCATTGATGGAAGGTAGTTAGATGCATTTCAATGCCGTACATGTTTATAATGCGACTTGAAGGATTGGACGTACTTATGCAAAAAGGAATGGCTGAGAGGAATATAGGGTGCTTGATCAGAAGTCGTGGACAATACTGGTGTTAATAATTTTCCGCGGCCGAGGTGTGTGTGATTGTTACAGCCGAGGTTACGGCCGAGATGATTGCTCACTTGCATGTCAAGAGAAATGCATGAAATGACAGGCACATCAAGGATGTAATTGGTGTGTCGCGCTGAAACAAGGGCACGACAATCTAACAAGAAATGCCTGTTATTCCAAGTCGTCGGCTGCTGGGTCCCCTAGCGGACACGCTAGACGTGCTGCGTTTTCTGAGTCAGAAGCCTATACACTTCTGCCAGGCTGGGCAACATGCAGTTGTATTCGACACGTTGTTGTGATGAGTATAACGTAAAGGCTTAGCAATTGGTTCATGGACTGTTACACCATTTGCGGCACATATTCATAAAAGACGAGTACCGACTGTGACTCTGCCGTAAAAAATAGCGCAGCGGCGGGTTGGTGGCTTGAGCCGTTCCACGCCAGCTGTGACGAATAGTCAGCCTGTGTTAACACATCACTGATGCGAAAATATTCCGAATCGATAAAGTAAGAGCCGCGCGAGAGGCGCCACCAAGAATGACCGATAACACTACTTTCGGAACAGGCTCCCTCCCCTCCCCTCCCCTTCCCTCCCCTCCCCTCTCCTCTCCTCTCCTCTCCTCTCCTCTCCTCTCCTCTCCTCTCCTCTCCTCTCCTCTCCTCTCCTCTCCTCTCCTCTCCTCT